AGCATATAGCCATCAAAACTTTCAAGTAATAAGAAATTTTGTCCACCAATGTGGAAGCGAAAAGTGAATTGAAATTATTATTTCTTGCTGCCACTTTAAACAATGCAATAATGTGAACAATATAAGTTGCATGCATTTTGTCTTTATATAAAACTATATAGTATTGCTCTATAATAATAGCGAGGTTTGGAAGCTTCAATACGTTTTGTGACTTGACACGATTCCTTCCTCGTAAAACATGTCTGCTGTCGTATACATTATTTACGTTGTAATAATTACAACTTATTGTTTTAAACCTAAATGCCATGAAAAAAGTACTAGTTAAATTACACGAATGCATGCATATATGCATTCAACTGAGTTGCAACTATCACGTACACAAAGCTGACCTGAAATTTGGGTTTCTTTGCATGGCAGGAACAACGTATATAATTATACTCCTATTGTTGTAAAAAATAAGCAGGTCAGCTTTGTATACAAATTGTTACATATTACAATCTGCATAAAAGTGTGATTACGCTGCTAAATATATGCGTGGTTCATCCCGAATAAGGGAGCACTTCCACATATAAGGATCCACTTGATATGTTATATATGGTGTGGCCGTGCCTTATTAAGGCCGGATTTGACTCCTTATATGGGCCAACTGCGCCATATATGGCTGTATATAACCCCATACATGAACCGACTCCGCCAGATATACATCCATATATGGTAAATAGAAGCCACATAGGCTGACATATATGCTTATATGTGGCCACATATACGGCCATATATGCTTTTATGTGGCCACATATAGCCTATATATGGGTCATGTATGGCGTTTCCATAAGGAACCACCGAGCAAGCTCACGATATCAAATGCTTGCAACGACGCCGCGGCGAACAATGGATGCGTAGTTCTTCAAGAAAGAGAAAAAAAGCAACCAATTTCTGCGAGTCATAAGGCAACACGGTGAAATGACTACACCGAACAAGTGTCATAGCGACGCCTAACGAGATGATTGCGGGAGTGCGTTCGCCGGGGGAACGTCCGCTTTCGGTGGGAGTTTATCCAGTGCTACTTTGGTTTCGGGTGAGATGTCTGTGACTGCCTGTGGTTTGAAAGCCACTGTGATTAACGCATTGTGAAATGCATACAACCTCTAAATACACTCCTCCACGACTAAAATAACACAAAGCACAATGTGCAGCATGTGAAAAAAAAACGCTTTGGTAAACCCAAGCCATACGTGTGTCTGACTTCATTTAGGAGTACGAACATGTCACGAATCTAGATCACTGACTTGTTAGGCGAGTTTGTTTATTTCTATAGTGGCATTCTTACGATCTCTATTCTTTTTTTGCGCTAAAAAGTGCTGTAAAAGTGCACCAATAATTGGGAAAGGCTTCAGTGGTACACGTTGGTTTAAACCCCTGCTAAACACAGGGGCCACACGTTCAAGCTTTCGCTGGTTAACCATCTACACTGAATGCTTAGACGGTGATTTTTTTTGTCGAAAGAACGTGCTTTCAAGAACGTTTATTAAAATAGTGAATGATGAAGAAAATAAGCAAAGCACAAAGGGCTCACCTTTTGTTTTATATGTAAGGTACGTTGATCAGTGAAAAATAAAGCGGCGGGAACTACATTCATCGCGAAAAATGCCGTGTTATACTTTTCTATGAGTATTTTTAAGGGACGATACAATTTTGTACAGTGCGCGTAAGTATACTTCCGACTTTCTAGATAATCTGCTGTAAACCTAATTTTTTTACATAAACGCATGTTTTCTGTTACCATGTTTCAATGTAGGCATGTCGCTGACCAAGCATTCTTTACTGAGATTACCGTATCGTGTACAATAAAATATACAACAACGTGTTTCCTCTCTAAATATGGATGAAGTAGAAAAAATACAACCGAATAAACACTGATTTAGTGAAAGTGCTGTCTATGAGCCGGACATGTGTATATTGGTGATTGATTTCTATAGAGCTTAGAAATTTTTGTGAAACGAGTGTTGCAAATGTGATAGAGTAGTGGACACATTTATATATGGTAATTTAAGCGTTATTTAAAATTGTTTACGATACAGCCCTCAAAACTGTTGTTTGCTGTTTGTTTACGGGCGTATCAAAAGAGTGCTTCGTGGTTGATTATAACGAAGTGACCCGCTCCAACAGCCTAGTAATGCTGTTGGAACTGAATAACTTTATTTTTTTTTATTAGCATCAAGACTCAGGCCGTGTGACGGAGTATATAAAGGCGTGAGTTCTATTTCTCTTACATAACTAAGTATATTTCTTGCATTCCTATATGTATACAAAATGAATTGCTAGCTTCCATATCTAAGGTAGAAGTTATATTAGAACATGGGACGAATTCGAGAGGGAAAAAATAAATTGAAAAAAATGTAAGGAGATGAATCAGAATTCGTTTGATACCCTGAACTAAAGGAAGAGATAGTGGGAAAAATATTGGAAGGGATGCACAGAGTAAAGGAGATGAGCGAAAAAAATAATTGAAGTGAAGGTGCTATAGCCAATTCAATGAGCCAGTATGATGGAAGTACTTCAATAAGGTTTTGACTGATTTTCTGTTCGAAGACATATCGTGTCGCCATTCGAGCACTGATTGCTCTGACAATAGTTTGTCGTTAAGGCGACCCCGCCGCGGTGGTCCAGTCGCTAAGGTACTCGGCGGCTGACCCACAGGTCATGGGATTGAATCACGGCTGCAGCGGCTGCATTCCCGATGGAGGCGGAAATGTTGTAGGCACGTGTAATCAGATTTGGCTGCACGTAAGGAACCCCAGGTGGTCGAAATTTCCGGAGCCCTCCACTACGGTGTCTCTCATAATCATATGGTGGTTTTGGGATGTTAAACCCCACATATCAATCAATCGTCAATGCGGGCTAATGCAGCAGCTAGCGGCAGTCTTCGAGTGCTGTAGCGAGAGCAGTGACAAAAAACGTGCGCTATTTCATCGGGGCCACATTGATCGCCAGCATCACTGTTTTCTATGCCGATTTAGAAAAACAAATTGGTGACAGTGACATCAAGCCACAGTTAGCCAAGCATTGTTGTCTCAAGTCGAAAGTCCGGACTGAGGCTGAAGTCAACGAGACGCGTGCAGTTTATGTATAGCCGTAAACTTACTTTATTCCACAGAGATTTTACATCTTCATTAGCAATAAGTCATGTTTTCATGAAAGCATCAGTCCTTGAGAATGGGATTCATCCATCTGATGCGTCTTCGGGTGCAGATCAAGCCGTTGCGGTGGCATACGTTTTGCCCAATATGACGCGGTAATTTAGAACCCACTGAACTCTGATGTCTTTTGGCGAAGACGTGGTGGAGCAGCTCTCTAAGTTTTAGCCCTAATTCTCTATGAGGTTGACGTCGCATTGCTCATACCAAACCCATCACTGTAGTGCTTCCTTGGAGTCCGTGAACACGTCGCATTTCGAGGCTTGTTGGCGATAAATGACTTTATGTGTGCTACAAAACGAGCAAGTTCTCCAGCACGGTGATGCTAATAAACCTAGCTCTCAAACCCAAAAACTACATCATATATTCAACACTAAAATGCGTAGTAAGGGTGTGCACTAAAGCCCCTCACTTGTCATGCGTTTTACTTCGGTTGAGGTCGTCTTCTATAACTAGAAAAATCCACTGATGTCCTGAATATCTTTTGTTTAGAAAATATTCTTTGAGTGTGCTCTTATTAATTTGGGAGAAAAAAACACAACAACTGTGCATAATGGTCATGCCTTCTCTCAATGGCAGCGCAAAACCTGCGCCAACCCATTCATGCGCCCATCTAGGGGGTTGCATTAAAGATTGCACATCAGAACGAAGCTATACCTGGCTGAAACAACTTGCGACGTTCGGCTGAACGCTAAGCATAAACGCTTCAGCCGCCAGCATGCTCAGAACACCGAAGATGGATGCACTCCCTGGTCAGTTCACTACAACCCACATGAGTGCTTATCGGCAGTGTCAGCATGTTTCTAGAGCTAAACTGGTTGGCCATAAGCTGTGGTACACGTGCGGATACCGTACGGGTATTTACACGGGCATTTCGTTTGCTGATAATGTTGTTTGCATCCGCGTGTGTTTCACCGGATACGTTTCCACCAGCCTAACGTTCTTCTTGAAATGCAGCGTCCTTGTTCATGCAGCGCGCGTCATCAGGCGCCCAAGCCGGTGACAAAGCGCGGAACTTGTCACTGCTCATTTGGCAAGAAATGTTTACCCGGGTGGTCAATGACTACGAGTTATAGGCTTAATGTAGCTTTCTTCTACATTAGTAGATGCCTATTAAACTGGTTCCCAATGAGCTAGAATATAACTGTGTCAATGTGATATGAAAAAAAAAGAGTTTAGAAAGGTAGAATTGTAAAAGAGCTTAGCACGAAAAGAGAAGTTTATAGTGGCCGTGCCATATATAAGAGACAACTAAACCGGTAGATTCCGGGCGCCTAACATGACTTTCTTGGTTTCTCGTCTTCCCTGGGCGTAGACACAGTAGAGTCTAACTACAGACTCTTGCAGGGCTTGCGAGAATGTGGAAACTCTAGCGCCAGAAGCTATTGCGCAAACCTGGCTCTGGCACCCCCGGTGAAAGCGTGGATTTTTCGTCACTCGTACTCGGCTCGCGCCCCACTGGGCAAACTTGGCACTGCAACTATGCAGACAATTCACGTGTAAAATGGTGGCTTGGCGACGGCTGGTTCTCAGTGCATGCACAGCTAGACGAGGTGAAACCAAAGAAGTTGTTGGCTGCGGCCTGATAATTGAAAAATGATAGTGTGAACATCCTTTTACGCGTATTCTTTTTTGCGGCCACCCACTTTCTCAGGAGATTTAAGAGCTAAATTTTAAAAACTTCACATACTCCAACACATTCATTCGTGGTGATACAAATGTTAAAAAGTAAACAATGGCAATGTATATGTGAGCATGACGTCTGTAAAACAAAATACAATGAATTTACCTTTTTTACAGGAAGGATACACGACGTCATGTAGCTACACATGTTCTGACGTGACTGGAGCAGAACGTGTGATGAACTACGAAGAAGATACACCTTGCATTGTAAGCCATTTTATTGTGCATGACTCTGCAACACTGCCATATGAGAGAGTAAAAAGGTCATATGATTATGTCTTTACCTAATAACATTGAAATTGTATAGAGTGATCCCTTGTGCCAATATGTTTTGTTCAGTTTCTCGTATATTTTTTCAAGACCTTCAAGTAGGAAATGAAAGGCAGCGCTACATAATTCTACAGACCTGCCTTTTTTGCTCTAGTAAAGCATATAACAGATTTGTGGGTTTAACCCTCTCTCTTTGCCCATCAATTTCTTTTGTAAAAATCAGTGATCATTGTGAGCCCTATAAGGAGACCTAAACGGAGACATCAGTCTCTTATAGGAAGTTTCTAAAAACCATTTTTGCAATGAGAAGCGCAGAGGAAAGATAAAGCTATAACTTATTCGTTTTGTAACAAGAATCGACTACTTTGCTTTGAAATACAATTTTGCTTAATGTCTCCCACAAAACTAGTTGAGGACAGAAATAACGGTTTTTCTGCAGGCCATGCTGGGCCATGTAGCCATTGCCATAGTTTTTGTGCAGGCCATTTACCCGGCGAAAACGTAGACCACAGTGCCAGCCCTAGTAGTTTCTTGTTTGCGTAGAGAAAGTACAAGCTTTTAAATGATCGCTTATGAAAAACGCTACACACTCAAAGTACTTACGTGTGATAATCAGCAGATTTCCTGCCAACATATGTAAAAATCCATTAGTTACTTTAGGTTTATTGTTGTGAGCATTTCAAATGTTCATTTTGAATAATAGTCAGAGTTGCCAAAGTAGCCATTGTAGAAGTTCAACAAACTGAGAAGATATGTACAACAAGAATTTTGGGTGTTCCACGCTACAAAGCCACATTAAAAGCAAAATCACCGGCGTACCAACTCTTCCACGAGTGGGGGGAGGGGGTGCTAACTTACCACACTTGTCAGCCAATATATATATATATATATATATATATATATATATATATATATATATATATATATATATATATATATATATATATATATATATATATATATATATTGAGAGAGGGACACTTTGTTCGGCGCGCTCGCACTTTCATATGATCTTTCATTCGCAAAGAACTTGTTCAATAGCGTAAAAAAGGAGGTAATTTAAAGGAAGCATGCACTGTAACAACACGTATATGTTTGTCATGCATGATGTATGTAATAATATTACATGTGACGATTTTCATACATTACCCCACAACCTTCCGCATGCACACAATTATGTTGATGGAGGCCTCCTTAACAGTAAATATTCTGTCATTGCATTAAATTTTTAATTATAAAAACAGCTCACAAAGAATTCCTATTTTAAATGTGAAGCACTCCTTGAGAAACCAAAGGAATTTTGAGCTTTTCTATTTACTTTAGCTTCTCACTGAGCTCGAGTCTGCTGTTTCATTCATCGCCGCTTTGCAAGCTGCATCCATCGCTCCAAGTTGCCTTAAGGGAGGCTGACCACATTTATCAGAGATTAAAGTGGAAGCCTTTGCTGGCATTTCCAGTACGGCAAAACTAAATTATTTAAAGAGATTCCTCGCAATAGGCTCACAGCAGCTTCTACAGAGCAGCGGGCTTCGTAATCCTTTTTGATGAACGAAAATGAATTTCCTGAAGCAGCAAATGCTTTGACCGGTTCATAAAAAAATTTTAGTTCCCATCTATAACTGCATCGGCCAGTCGCATTAGAATAAAAACATGAACAAGTGATGTAATATATAGGGCCCCTGTTTAGCGCTAGCCTGCTCTGTAGTGCTACTGCAGAGAGCGGAAAGTGTCGCAAAGAGCCTTCAAAAAAATCGTCACTGATAAAATGTTAGAAAATATTGTCGCTAGGTGAAAATAACAGAATACAGGACGATGGTGCGACCAGAAAAAAAACGAAGTCTGTATTAACAGAACAAAAGAGCAGCCGCTTCGACTTCTTCTGTCTCGGAGGAACCGTGGGTGCTGTCCACGCTCATCACTTCATCGTCCTCTGTCTTCTTTCACGGCCTTTAGCCATGACAATAGCCTCCCATTCAAGAAAGCATCGTCCCGATGCTTCATAATCAAAGCGGTTTGTATTCGTTGGAAACGCATGAGTTCCTTCGGAGAAATGAGGCTTCATGCGTACCACGTGCACAACTTCTGGAGCATACCTTCGACGCCTTGAAGAGTGCGCAGTATCAGAACAACCTCATAATTAATGTCACTGAGACGTCGAAGAACTTTATAGGGACCGAAGTACCGTCTTAACAGTTTTTCTGAGAGGCCTCGGTGCCGAATAGGTGTCCATATCCAAACTTTCTCTCCTGGCTTGTAGGAGACTGGTCGGTGACGAAGGTTGTACCGTCTCGAATTATAGTCCTGCTGGTGACTAATACGTAGGCGTGCAAGTTGTCGGGCTTCTTCGGCCAGCTGAGTGATATAATCAGTATCCGTTTCAGCGTCTTTGCACTCGTGCGGCAGCATAGCATCCAGCATAGTGGTGACTTCACGACCATGAAAAAGGCGGAATGGCGTTGTTCTTGTTGTTTCTTGATGAGCCGTGTTATAGGCGAACGTGACATACGGCAAGATCTCGTCCCAGTTTTTATGCTCCACATCGACGTACATGCAGAGCATATCCGCTTGTGTCTTGTTGAGACGCTCTGTAAGACCATCCGCTTGCGGATGATACGCCGTTGTTCGCCGGTGAGATGTGCCACTAAGTTTTAAAACTGTCTGTAATAGTTCGGCTGCGAATGTAGTTCCCCTGTCAGTTATTACCACTGATGGAGCACCATGCCTCAGCACCACATTCTCTACGAAAAATCGGGCTGCTTCGCTTGCCGTGCCCCTCTCCAAAGCCTTGGTTTCGGCGTAACGAGTTAGGTAGTCGGTGGCTACTATAATTCATCTGCGAACTGCTGATGAGGTGGGAAATGGGCCCAAAAGATCCATTCCGACTTGAGCGAATGGAGTAACAGGCACGTCAATAGGATGGAGGAGGCCTGCTGGTTTGACGGGTGGAACTTTTCTGCGCTGGCAATCAAGGCACGTCCGAACATAGTGTTGAACGGTTGCTGTCAGTCTTGGCCATTAGTATTTCTGCCTCACTCTGCACAACGTACGCGTGTAACCCAGGTGGCCGGATGTTGGCTCATCGTGGCATGCCTGTAATACTTCGCTCCTTAGAGATGTTGGGACGACGAGTAAGTAGTCGTTTTCGTGAGGCGTGAAGTTCATCTTATACAGGACGTCGTTGCGCAAGCAAAATGACGAAAGCCCTCTCGCAAACAGTCTAGGTACAGCTGAAGTGCGACCCTCTAAAAAACGTATTATGGATTCTACTTCGGGGTCGTCTCGTTGCAGCTGTGCGACAGTTGCCGTGTTTACAACTCCGACAAAGGCTATATCGTCATCTTCTGCCGTCGCAGGTTCGTATGGCGCACTAGAAAGGCAATCAGCGTCTGAATGTCGCTTCCCGATCTGTAGACCACCGTCATGTCAAATTTTTCAAGCTTCAGGCTCCAGCGCACCAACCGTCCTGAAGGGTCTCTTAAGTTCGTCAGCCAGCAGAGGGAGTGATGGTCGCTGACAACATTAAAAGGACGACCATACAGGTATGGGCGGAATTTTATAACCACCCACATCACCGCAAGGCACTCTTTTTCCGTAGTGGAATAATTTTCTTCCGCACGTGAAAGAGTTCAGCTCGCGTAAGCAATTGCTCGTTCGGCGCCATCCTGCCACTGCACGAGTACAGCTCCTAAGCCGACATTGCTAGCGTCGGTGTGCACTGTTGTCGGTGCGTCATCATCAAAGTGTGCGAGGATTGGTGGCTTCTGAAGGCATTGCCGCAGCTCTTCGAATGATTTTTGCTGCTCTTCATTCCATACGAATGCGACGTCTTCTCTGGTAAGGTGGGTCAACGGCGAGGCAATGCGCAAGAAGTTCTCAATGAAGCGTCGGTAGTAAGCGCACAGTCCTAAAACCCGTCTGACTGCCTTTTTGTCAGTTGGCGCTGGAAAATTCGTAACGGCAGCTATTTTTTCAGGGTAAGGCGGCACACCTTCACTATTGACAAGATGCCCCAGGAACACAAGCTCTTCGAAGCCGAACTGGCACTTTTCCGGCTTAAGTGTGGGTCCGGCGGAACGGATAGCTTGAAATACTGAGTGCAGTCGCCTGACGTGTTCGTCGAATGTGGCAGAAAATACGATGACGTCATCTAAATACACTAAGCACGTCTGCCACTTGAGGCCTGATAGTACGGTGTCCATTAGCCGCTGAAACGTTGCCGGTGCTGAGCACAAGCCAAATGGAAGTACCTTAAATTCAAAAAGGCCATCAGGTGTCACGAAAGCTGTTTTCTCCCGGTCTCTTTCATCGACTTCCATCTGCCAATACCCACTCCTTAGATCCATCGACGAGAAATAGCGCGCGTGGCGTAGTCGATCGAGTGAATCGTCGATGCATGGAAGTGGGTAGACGTCTTTTTTTGTCACCTGATTCAGCTTGCGGTAATCCACGCAGAAACGTAAGGTGCCGTCTTTTTTCTTCACTAATACAACCGGCGAAGCCCAAGGGCTTTTCGACGGCTGAATAACGTCGTCTTCAAGCATCTGTCGCACCTGCTTTTCGATGGCTTCACGTTCTCGCGGAGCTACCCGGTACGGGTTTTGCCTGATGGGTCTGGTCATGTCGTCCGTTATAATTCGATGTTTCGTCAGCGGCGTTTGACGGACCCTGGAAATCGAAGAGAAACAATCTTCAAACTTGTTAATAAGCTGCATGATACTTTGCTTCTGCGCCGGCAGCAAACTTGAGCCAATATCAACAGATAGAGGTGCGGGAGTCAGATCAGTTGAATTATCTTTTTCAAGAGTTAGGCAGTCTGTCATCTCGGCGAGCTCTTCCACGTACGCGACTGCCATGCCCCTCGTTAGATGTCGGCGTTCAGAGCTGAAGTTCGTAACAAGGACGTGCGTGTGTCCGCATTTTATGCTTACGACGCCTCTTGCGATAGATAAACCATGGCTGAATAGCAGTGTTCGAATTTGCTCAGCGATGTTTTCAGAATCGCTCGACGTGTCACATGTCGCAGCCACGAAAGCACTCGACCGCGGTGGGATGGTCAGGTAGTCTACGAAGACGCGCAAAGGCTGACGTCGCTGGTCTGTACAGGGCACATCCGAAACTTGATCTGGGGCCGTCCAAAACGTAACCAATCTCTCAGGAATGTTGATAATGGCACCGTATTCACGCAAGAAGTCCATGCCCAAGATCAGGTCTATGCAGCACTCCGGTAAAATTACGAAAGTAGCGACGAAATCTGAACTGCCGATATTAATTCGAGCTGTACATTTGCCCATCGGCGTCACCAATTGACCTCCTGCGGTTCTTATGTTTGGGCCCGTCCATATTGTTCTTACTTTCTTTAGGCAGTCTGCGAGTTTACGGCTGATATTAGAGAAGTCCACACCAGTATCTACCAGTGCTGTTATTGGGCGTCCGTCTATACAAATGTCTAGATTGGCGCTTACGATTTCCGTTGATGTCGGTGACGTCGTATCGTCCTTGGTATCGTGCGTCGTACGATCCACGGTATCATTCGTCGTATCGCGTCGTAGAGAAGATGTTGGGGGTGTGATAGCATCTCGACTGGCGGCAACCTTCCCCCCAAAGGTCGCAGCTGTTAGTTTCCCCGACGCGGGCTAGGAGATCTGCCCCGGACCACCTCGGAGTAACTGCGCTGCGGCGGTGAGTTCGGTGCAGGTGAAGGAGAGCGGGGTCGACGATACGGCACTTCGGGTTGCTGTGCTTGCGGGCCTGCACTGCTGTCACGGCGGTTATCGAAATAGGCACGAGGGGAGGTTTGTGAGAAAGTTGTGGTGGCTATGGTCACGGTACGGGCAATGGCGGAAAATATGGCCGGCTTCTCCGCAATGAAATCAAAGTGGTCGACGGTCGACGGTGCACCACAAGTCCGTCTTACGGATGAATGGTCGACTGGTGGGCATACCTTGCGACCAAGATGCAGATGTCGGTGGAGTGTACATCGGCGCCGTTTGCATAGGCACGTTGGACTGTGGATACGGCTGCGGCGGATCGGGAGCTGGGGCCTACGGCTCGTTGTAAGGCCCTTGGCTCACGTCACGATAAGCCAGTGGTGATGAGTTGTACGACACTGGAGTGGGTCGACGGACAACTGATGCGTGGCTTACAGACCGCTGGTCTGAGAGCGATTCGGGCAACGAAAATGCCTGGCGGAGTTTTTGCCGCACAACTTCTGCAACGCAAGCCATGGTATTTTCTTGCGGAGTCACAAGAAGGTTTCGGATCTCCTCCCGAACGACCTCACGAATGAGTTCGCGCAGAGAACACTCACTACTGGCACTCAAAGCAGAGAGGCTGGGAGATGTTTTGGTTGGTTGGTAATGGTATCGGCGCCGTTACTCTAGTGCTCGCTCGATTGTTGTAGCCTCTTTGACGAATTCCACTACGCTTGTTGGTGTGTTGCGTAGGAGACCGGCAAACAGCTCTTCCTTGATGCCCCTCATCATATGTCGGAATTTTTTACCTTCAGGCATCTCGGGGTCTGCCCGCTGAAATAGGCGGGCCATGTCTTCTGCAAACATGGCGACGCTCTCGTTTGTTTTCTGTATGCGTGCCTCGATGAGCTGCAGAGCAGAATCACGGCGGTCGATGTTTGCGAATGTCCCGAGAATTTGCTGCCGAAATTCCTCCCACGAAGACAGCGTTGACTCGTGGTTCTCGTGCCACGTTTGAGAGCTGTCTGCCAAAGCAAAGTAGACGTGCGATAGCTTTTGTTCAGTGGGCCAGCGGTTGGCTTTGGCGACTCGCTCATACTGGGCTAACCAGTCCTCGACGTCTTCATAAGCCTCACCGTGGAAGGTCTCAGGAATTAGAGGCTGATCAACAGTAAGCTGTGAAGGCCCTCCGGTAGCCATTTCTCCTGGTACGGTGTGTTGCTGGAGAAGTTCGAGCGGGATCGCCTCGGGACTAAGGCCTCGCTGTCGGCGACTGTAGCGGTGGACAGGAGTATCCACTGCAGGAACGGATTGCGGTGGTGCACTCGATGTGCTAGGGCGCGGAGTTGTCCCAAGCATCAGTCGGAGAAGTCCAGCACCTCCACCAATGTCGCTAGGTGAAAATAACAGAATACAGGACGACGGTGCGACCATAAAAAACGATGTCTGTATCAATCTGTATTAACAAAACAAAGGAGCAGCCGCTTCGACTTCTTCTTTCTCGGAGGAACCGTGGGTGCTGTCCACGCTCGTCACTTCATCGTCCTCTGTCTTCTTTCCCGGCCTTTAGCCGTGACAATATTACTACATTGTACCTTTGCTTCGTAGTATTTTTTCTCGTAATAATATAATTGAGTGTTCACAGTGGTGAAGGAAAATTTTGCCTTAGTTGTTGTTTTCCCCCGTGTGCAGCTGACAGCGACCCCTGTCGGAAGGGGAGGCGTGGCTCAGCCCGCCCCATGGCTGATACGCATATGAGCATAATCTTTGCCTTAGTGTAACGTTCATCATTGTTTTAAGCATCTGGATGTCATTCAACCACCCCTGATATCGTGGACTATACGGGTGTCCATCATGTTATTTCCGGCGAAAAATGACCGTAACGGTCGAAAACCGAGCTACGCCTTTAGCAGCCGTGCATCATAACCACTTAGCCAGCGTGACAACCGTAGGATGATTGTTTGCTGAGAAGAGGGCGAACTTTGCGAAATGTCAAGTTTTTTTCTTGAAGATGCAAAATTGCAAATCTTATTTTCGCAACGTAAAAAGATTTTTTTGTTTTAACTTCGCTGGTCAAGTGTGCTTTTTTTCGTTTCAAAGCGCTCGAGTGAAGAGGTGGAAAGCATTAAACTGGCAGGCCTATGCAAGAAGGGCGTCTGCGTGGAGCCGTCCGAAATAGGTTTGTAAGTAATTGAGGCAACATTAAAAACCAATGTATTAGTAGGCCAATGAGCCTATAGGCTATGCCTATACCTGGCTTCTTATTTGTGTCCAAAATAGAGATCACTAAAAAAGGTATTTGTAAAGTCTTTATTCCACCCTCGTCTCTGCAAATAAACAGTGAATGATATCACACAAATAAGTACAAACTACCACCTTAGTGAAAGTGAAATAAAATTATTTATCGCAAATTAAAAGTGCTTCAATAAAAATAGGAGGTTTAACACTATAGTCAAAACATGAAAAACCCGATTGTAGCTGAGAATATACATTAACAGAAAGCTCCGGAAGATGTTGTTGGTAGCGCAATTAATGATAACGACTTGCAGGAAATTTATATTAAAATGTATGAAGACTAAAAAGTATAAATGCTTGTATAATAAAAGATACTGAGTGCTGTCTTCTCTCTTCGAACGCTAACTTTGTGGATTATCCTTAAATATATGAAAATTTTTTTAACACTGCTTTCAGTTTATCGAAATCTAAGAAATTACAAATTTATTGTGGAAATATAGATGTGTACAAGAATGTGAGTGTTTGAGTGAGGGAAGCAATAACAGCTACAATATCGCATCATTTCGTCCCAAATGGTGTCGCTTACCATACATTTGTCACACCTAGGGAACCACGAAAGAAAACAAGCCCACCCAGAGCGACTTATAAGATGCAAAGAGAAAGCAAATAGGCAGGCAAGTACCCTAATTTATTTCCGATTTTTCGCACGACCATTGACTTCAAAACCTATAGGCACTGTTAACCTACCATTTTTGATTGAATGACAATAAGTCGAAAACCGCGGCCAGCTCCCCTTTCGGCACACTTTAAAAACAGCAATACCTCATGCTCCTTTTGCAAAGCTCACCTTCATCCATTTTTGTGCGTCTCTCATTGTTCAACTCTTTATAAAGGGCCTCACAGTCATCCAGCCAGACGCCGCTAATCCCTTTCTTTCTTACCGACGCCCTCTCCCGCCCCGTCGCAAGACCTCTAACCAGGGCTACGACAACAGGCGGGGGAACCTCGACAAGAACAAAATCATCGTTAAAAAAGCACTCTTACCACTATTTTAGAAACCAGTCTTGCATGTTTTGCAGATGATTGCATAATATTTATGGTGTGTTGTAGGAAGTGCCACAGTTGGGGAGATGTAGTCGCTATCGGAAGCTGCATTTCAAACCCTTTCCCTTCGATACGTGATTTTCGAGAATGACAACTTCATTTTTGTAGTACTTCGTTTTGTACTGCACAATAAACTAAATAACAATGAAAAAGCCATCAACATCGTGAGCTTCCGCATGCTATTTTTCGTTATCATCATGATAAGCAACACCATCCTGATTACGCCCACTGCGGGGCAAAGGCCTCTCCCATAATCCACTAATGATTACCCCATCTTGCGCTTCCTGCTGCCACGTTATACCTGTGAACTTTTTAATCTCATCGGCCCACCTCTACTTTCTGTCACCCCTTCATGCGTTTGCCTTATCTGGGACTCCTGTCAGTTACCCTTAATGACCAGTGGTTATCCTGCCTACGTGCTACGTTCCCGGCCCATTTAAACTATGATATCCTTAACCCCGGCTTTTTCCTTGACCCACTCTGCTCTCTTCTTGTCTCTTGAGTTTACACCTATGATTTTACTGTTCATTGCTCACCGTGTCATCCTCAATTTAAGCTGAACCTTTTTTGTAATCCTTCAGGTATCTGCGCCTTAGAGAAGTGCTAGCAAGATTCAGCTGTTTTATACCTTACTCTTGAGGGTCAATGGTAGGTTAACCTTCATGATTTGAGAATGCTTGCCGAATGTGACCCACCCGATTCTTATTATTTTAGTCATTTCACTCTCATGGTTCGGCTCCAGGGTACTACCTGTTCTAAGTGGAGGTATTCTTTACAACTTCCAGCATCGCTCCACCTAAGGCAAAGCGCTGTTTTCTCCCAAGATTGTTGCACACTACTTTAGTTCTGTACGTGATAATTTACAAAACTACTCTTCTGCTTTCCGCGTGAAGTCAAGAAATCATGAGCTGAAATTTGTCCCCTGAGTTACAGATCAAGCAATTGTCATCAGCGAATCTCAGGTTACTAAGACACTCCCTATTTACTCTTAGCCCTAACTATTTCCAACCTAAGGCCATGAGAACCTCTTGTGAAGACTGGGTGAATAGAAATGAAGAGATTCTGTCTGCCTGCTTTACACCCTTCTTTATGGAGATTCTGTCGTTTTCTTTATGGATAGCGGTGGTGGTTGTGGATCAGCTGCAAATTTATTCCAGTATGTTTGTAGCACTCGTTAATTGTAAGTATATTGCATATGTTTGTAGAACGCGAGAAAGATTTTAGGTGCGGAGCACTTGCGGGGGCCGCCTTGTTAATATTTCTTTTACATCTCACGTGCCGGAATCAGGCACACAGTAAAGTGCCTACTACTGGCCCTAACAAGCCTATAAACGGTGTAATCTGGAATAAAATGAGTGACCAAAGTATGAAATATTATGATGAACAGAAACAGTCACGAAGCAATTGTAATATAGTATTTTAAATGCTAAAACGTTTTGCAAGCACACGGTTCACTTGAGCAGAACACGAGTGAGAGTGCCAACACCTCGCCGTGCGTGCACATGCTCCTCCCCCTGCACCGCATTTGAGTCAGTGCGGCACTGCGTCACTAGGTGACTCCATCTGATGTGGGAAACAAACTGACGCCCCTGCTTCAGAAAGCGCATGTCGCAACTGCCGTAGCAAGAAGGAAAATATTACGCGCAGCAAAAAGCAGCTAATATGACGCATTCGAATGAAGAACTGTGCCTGGGAAAAATTTATGAATGACGTGGAAACACCACATGCTTAACTCGTACGTTGGTGCTATTGACATATTGCTAAATACAAAGCATTGGGAACTCCACGAACCGAAATAAATGTGTTAACATTAGGCGCACTTCTCCAGGTTTCACAGTAGCAAAGCTGTCATACGTTTCTTTTGGTTTGTTTTTTGTTGACGTATTTTTTTCGCTATTATTGAATCATGTCTGAATATACGCGCTCATCTCGTCTTTTTTCACAGAAAAGGGTCCTCTGGAACTGTTATTACTATTGTCAAATAAACCATGCATGGTACAGTGGTTACTACAATAGCAACCTTACTAGCGCATGTCACGTAAGTCGACTTTTTTTAACTAGAACACCACCCACAGTGAGTCTTCAGAAAATAACGTCTATGGCGAATGTAGGGAGTGAAATAAATACTATAATAGTAATTTCACTGCGAAAATATTTTTCAATAATTTACATATTTTGGTTTAACATGAGAACATGAAACTGAAACTGGTTTAACATGAGAACAGGCTGGACACTGCTCTCATAGCTATGCACTCGTTCAAAGACCCCAGTTCGAGGGGACATGTATAGAAAAAGTCAGCTTCAATAGGCGCACTTTTTAAATGTCCTCAGAAAGGTCGAGCTTTTACATTGTTGTGATTGCAGTATTGCATAAAATGAGCTAGATGGGGGCAAGAAACTTATCACTAATTATTTATGCTCAACAACATTGTATGTGTGATCTACAAATAATAAAACAATAATTCCCACTAAGTAAGTTTTTATGGTACTGTTTTTAGCCTTAGAGCCAAAGCGCCTACGGGTGAGTGGCTTCTTGGTGAGTTCCGTCTTCATCACTACAGCTCATCCTGAACGGGTGTTTGCATCACAAATTCGGTGAATTCCACTACTCACCACCATTTTATACTACACACATTATAAATTTAAGATTTCGTTGCTACTACGTAAGACATTATCTTTAGCTAAGCAGCGGGAAGAGAATTCTCAAAGAAATTTACCAAAGCCCCCCGTTCTTCTATAATCCGTGTGCTCAGATTTGGGTGCACGTTAAAGAACCCCAGGTGGTCTAAATTTCCGGAGCCCTCCACTACGACGTCTCTCATAATCATATAGTGGTTTTGGGACGTTAAACCCCACATATCAATCAATCATCTTCTATAATACCAGACACACAAACGTGCGTCACTACGGTAACATGACATGTTTCAACACGTGACTAACACTTTGAGAATCAGCTAACACTACAAAAAACATGTATGCAACGTGATCGCAAGTTAAGCAGCAGTCAAGATTTCGGGGTGATTAAAACCAGCGCCCACTGCATACCCTTCAGATTTAATGCTATAACGTGAAGCCTGAATGGTGTGTAATGGGCGCTGGAGAGAAGGAGCATGGACGTTCAGTTTCACTATAGTTTTTAAAACTGAACCACACCGCTCCATCTATTGCGAACAAGGGATCCGTACGGATCCCGAAACGTCTTTGTTTTTTTTTTGACATTGGTCAGTGACCTGTTTTTTCAACACCGCTCCATCTAGTGGCGCCTTCGACACAGCATATGCTTCTCATGTCCCTTTTTAATGTGCTGTCGTGCGTTAAACTTTGGGCTCTGTTTATAAATCGCCATTCCAGATACCCTCGTTTGTCACATCGTAATTCAGAACAAGCTCATTCCGCGTACATATACTAGAAGTTGTTTTTACGTCGCTTGAAGTATGAAAGCATAAAAGCATTAGAAATAGACTCTGTAAAAGTTGTATGCTTTTTTTACCCTTCATATCAACATAGTAGAGGAAAGCTTTGGACATTTTTGCTTGGCATAATGGCGTACGAATCGCGTGACATTCTACACGGAGAGACAACAGACAGCACTTGTCCGTGTCTTTTCGTCTGTATCCCTATGTAGAATATTGTGCTGTTCGTACTTCATATCGATGTATGCCTTGCCTTGTGTAGCTAATATTTGGTGCTGTAATTTATTTGCAGCTGCCTAAGCCCACGAGAGAACAGCCTCTGGGATGGTGCTGCAGAGGAAAGTGTATTAAGAAGCAATATTGTGGGGACCAGCAAACAAGTTCGTGATGAAGAGACATTTTATTTCACTATGTTGAAGCTTTATAATTAACATCTTGCATTTCACAAGTACTTGCCGAAGAACTGAATACAACGGACCTTTAGAACGCCGATGATTACGACCTGATCATATAAATATGTGGCACAAAATAAAAACTCAGCTATTTTCGTGTGCTTGACCATCTATTCTGCTATAGTCCACAGAAACTGAATAATCGATGACTAGATACGCCTCTGAGAGCAGTATAATTGTAGATAAGGGTGCGCATAAAAAACATACACATTTACCGGACAGCTAAGTGAATTGAGCCCCGTCAGATAAGTGCTTTTTCCTGTGTTCACGCGGTTGGTTATATTACCTGTAGTGGATGACGATCGTTCAAGGAATAAACATAATAGAAGTAGCAGTACATGTTTTGTAGTGGATACCAAATATTATCCTACAGCCCTGCGTTTCTGAGTTTTTACTTGAAGTAGGCTTCCTAATTAAGCGTTTGTTGTGTTAAGTCTGTCCCCTTCCTCAGTGCAGGGTTGCATACTGAGGTTCAGCCCAGGTTAACCTCCCCACCCTTCTCCTTTTCTTTTCTCTCTTGCTCAGCGAAGAGGAGGTCTCAGAGTTGGAGTCACAACAAATATGCGTTAAACAAAGAGTAACGTACTACAGTACAATAGCCGAGGCTTGTCTGTGAGTGGCCCACTGCGATACCCGCACTATACTCGTATTCACAGCTCTAGAGAAAACATGTCGTAACTTTGGAACGATGATAACGCTAACGATGACTA